ACCCTGGCTTCCTCCGTCACTGGAGCAAGCAAGCCTCCCTGTTCACTTCAGCTGCCTGGCTGCTGGCCGCCATCTTGATTGGCAGTTAATTTGCATATTGCCCTGATTAGCCAATGGGAAGGGTAGCGAAGTTACAGTTAATTACCATGTTTCTCTTTTATTTGATAAGATAATAAACTTTAGTTTATTATTATATATGTTTATTATAGAAAATTAAGATGAAGGAAAAATTTTAAATTATTGACTCTAAACATTGCTAATTTAAGGAAAATCTTTTTTGAGTAGTTTTTCTTATTTTTAAAGTTTCTTATCCTATCTAATAAAGACAGAATATGCCAATTAACTGTCACTCTGTCACAAAGATGGCAGCGCCCAGTCCCCTCAGCCCCTCCGGAGTTGTCCTTTTAGCCCTCGCCCCGGTAAGGGGCAAGCAGGCCCCCACAGAGAGCAGACACCAGGACCTGTGGCGAACAGACAGCAGGGCCCTGCTTGGCCCTGGCCGCGGTTGCGATGGGCAAGCAGGACCCCGCAGAGAGCAGACACCACCTCCTGTGGTGGCGACAAGAAGACAGGTCTGCAGAGAGCAGAGAACCATGGGGAGTGGGCCTAAACCGTCAATAGGACATCTGTGGGCTCCCAGATTGGAGAGGGTGCAGGTCAGGCTGAGGGACCCACCCCCGTGCACCGGGCCTCTAGTTGTATAATAAACAAGAATAATTTGAAGAAACAATAGCCTTAATTATTAGAACCCCGCGGATGTGGCTCAGTGGTTGGGTGTCAACCCATGAACCAGGAAGTCACAGTTCAATTCCAGGTCAGGGCACATGCCCGGATTTTAAGCTTGATCCCCATTGGGAGCATGCAGGAGGCAGCTGATGGATGGTTCTTCCTCATCATTGATTTTTATATCTCCCTCTCCCTCTTGCTTCCTCTCTCTGAAATAAATAAAAACATATTTTTAATAAGTGATTAGAATAGTAACTACTTTAATTCTTTAGTTTATGAATTATTTATAGAAAGCCTAATGGAATCCATTATTCTTTTGCATGTCCAGATCATATTCATTTCTATCAAAATAAGAATTATCCAAAGCATCTTGCATTTAAAAGTAAATTGATGATACAGAATCATATAAGAGATGCCAAAGGCATTTCAAAAATATCATCTTCTCTTTTAAATTGAGGAATATATTTTATTTATCTTCAAAACCACCCTATAGAGTCACTGTTTATATTCCCATTCACAGATGGTGATACCATTGTAATAACCTGGCTATTATTTAACAGAAAAGGAGGAAAGGGAAGGTTAAATAACATAGGCATGCCATTTATTTAATTTTGTTTTATTTCTTAAAGTATTACATATGTCTCCTTTTTACCCCCCCTTGACATTACCCCGGCCTCCCCTACCCCCTATGTCTTGTGTCCATTGGTTATGCTTATATGCATGCATACAAGTCCTTCCGTTGATCTCTTACTA